AAAACTCATTAATAATTCATGAAGCAATTATCCAATCTTCAGTAAGAAATTAGTCACGTGCATACGTCTTTATACCAGCTAAAGAACACATTAACAAAAGACCATTGTTATGCAAACTATATAAAGATTTTTATATAAAGATTTTTATATAAAGATTTTTATATAAAGATTTTTATATAAAGATTTTTATATAAAGATTTGACTTATTATGCATACGTTTTTGAAGTCATTTAAAAAACTCGCGAGTCGTGTTTTATTAGGTCTAAAGCCACTCGCGCTGCGCGCTCGTGGCTTTAAACCTAATAAAACACTCCTGCTCGTTTTTTAAATAGTACTTAAAAACGGGAAATTACTTTATGAAATTATATATATATATATATGTATATAGAACTTTCGCGCTGTTGTTGACGCTGTTGAAGTCTGTGGTAACGTATATATAATATATAATATATATATATATATATATATATATATATATATATATATATATATATATATATATATATATATATATATATATATATATATATATATATATATATATACACATATATATATATATATATATCCGTAGCCATATATAGCGGCGGGGAAAAGACCTACGGAATGTGAAATTTTCACAAGCTGAGCGAAACAACCTTTGCTCTGAAAAGAACGTTCCTTTAAAAGGTAGAGATATTTGTGTTTTTTCACGTCGCCAAGGAAAGCTATCTGGTACAGTGTAAACGCAGTTTAATTAAATCGCACAATTAAATAAATCAAAGATTGATTATGCAAAATATATTACATGTATGTATGTATGTAAAACTTTATTTCAATACGCTAACTTCGACAATTATTTACAACTGGTTTCCACGAAGGGCGTATACACACAAAGAGCTAAATGTTAATTATATATAGAACAAAATATGTAAGAATCCCACCCTAAAATTTTATCATCTTCCTCCCAAACCTCCACCCCCTAAACAAGTACCCACCCACCCTCACGCAAAACTAACCCCCTCCCGCCCACAATCTATATTGTCCTCCCATCATTTGGTCCTGGAGAAATTAGCTTATCATCTGCTTAAATGCAATTTCGCCATTGTTTTAAATGACGTAATTGACTCAGCCGCCTTGACATCTTGCGGGAGACTATTCCATAGAACTGCTCCACTGTATCCAAATGTTTTCTTTAGAAATTCCGTTTTCGGTTTTTTTAACGAGAGATCAGTTTCGCTATTGCGTAAATCATAAATATTCTGCGATGCATTTCTCCGAGAAAAAGATCTTTAAGGTTTGGCGCAGTGTGGTTCCCCAAGACTTTATACATCAATACTAGCTTGTTTTGTTCTCGTCTCCTAGCCAGGGTTTCCCAGCCTAATTTGTTTAGGACTTCAGACGATCTTACATCGTAGTCAGCTCCGGTAATCACCCTTGCTGCTCGATTTTGGAATTTTGCAATTTGTCTTGAAGTCCCAAACCACAGTTATCCCACAGGGGAGAACAGTAATCAAAATGAGGCTGAATTAATGTTTTGTAGACATCATGTAAGGTTTTGTGTGGAACATAAGGTTTTATTCTTTTAATTGCCCCTATTCCAGCGCTAATCTTATGGCATACAGAATCAATATGTTTCTCCCAACTTAATTTTTCATCTAGATTTACACCTAGACATTGAAATGTATTGGTTTGTGGGACTGGGATTTTGTTAATCTCAACGGGTCTATTTCCTATTTTATTATTTAGATTATGCGTAGATCCAATAAACATGACTTTTGTTTTTTCCTATGATATTTTAGTTTGTTTTTAGCAAGCCATTTATGAATACTGGAAAGGTCCATATTCAAATTGTCAATCAATGTATCGTAATCATGCGAAGAGGAAGATATCTGAGTGTCGTCGGCATAAAGACATGGGGTTGTCCTTTCTAAAATGTCAGGCATATCATTAATATATAGCGAAAACAATAATGGACCAAGTATGGATCCTTGCGGAATTCCGCATATTATTGTTCTTGCAGAAGAAGTTTGATCATTAACAGAACACACTTGCTTTCTATTCCTTAAGTATGATTGGAACCATTTTAATTCAATGTCGTGAATTCCAAACTGGGTTTCAAGCTTCTCCAATAATATCTCGTGATTCACCGAGTCAAATGCTTTACATATATCAAGAAAAACAACTCCATTTATTTTGCCTTCATCCATGTCTTGTAGCCATTGATCACACATTTGTATAAGAGCACCTAAGGTTCCATGTTTTGGTCTAAACCCTGATTGAAATTTAGACAGAAGCGCATGTTTATTCAAAAAGCTATATATTTGAGTAAAAACTTCCCCTTCAAATATTTTACTTATTATGGGAAGAATTGAAATTGGTCTATAATTTTCGCATTTACGCTTATCCTCAGATTTGTAAATTGGTATAACTCTAGCTAATTTCCACTCATCTATATAAATACCAGTTCTAATCGATAGGTTAAATATAAAAGTTATAGATGGAGCAATAAGGGTTGATGTCAGTTTTAAAATATTCGCAGGTATTCCATCCATACCTGTCGCTTTTGAGACATTTAGTTTTTGTAGGCGTTTGTAAACACTATCTATAGTAATATCTGCGAAGTGAAAATTTTCTTTAGGAAGAAGCACAGTACTTTCATAAATTACTTGATCATTTAAAGCATCAGTGCTTTGACATGCTGATTCTCACAGCGTAGACAAGGCTGTGATCTGAAATTCCCAGGTGAATGACACCTGATCTGGAAATATTTTCTGGTCTATTTGTTAATATTAAATCAATTAGTGTAGCTGATTTAGGAGTTAGCCTTTTAGATTCTTTAATAAGTTGGTCTATCTGATACAGAGAACATAAAAATTGCAACTTACATGTGTGAGGGTCAGGTATAGTTTTACTGACATCACAATTTAGATCTCCTATGAGGATTAGCTCATTATCTTCATTATCACATTTTGCTAAAAAGCTTGCCCAGTAATCAAATATATTCATAAGAGAATTTGGTGGTCTATACCATGTGCTTATTAGCAGTGATTTATTGTAGGGTAAACTTAATTCAATGCAGACCATCTCAAGTTCATCAGGGATTAGATCTATTCTATCTGAGAATGATATGTTTTGGCGAACATATATAACCACACCTCCACCAAACCTATTTCGATCTTTACGAATTATATTAAAACCATCAATATGTATCTCATTATTTGAAATCTGATTATCAATTTTGGACTCATTAATTGCAAGAATGTCAAGGGCGTTATTGTTAAGGATTAAGCGAATTTCATCCAGATGTTTCATTAAACTATTTACATTTAATTTGGCTATCTTCAAACCTTTACTTTTGGCGATTATGTTAATTTCACTATCTATGCCTAATAAAGAATTTCTTGGCACATCTTGACAACTTACTTGTTCAAGTTCATTATCTCATTTAGTAAATGATGGAAGATGGATGCCCAACGAAGAGCGTTGATGGTATAACGGTAGCATTGCTGCCTTCCAAGCAGTAGATCTGGGTTCCATTCCCGGTCGACGCAGTTTTCACTTTTTATGGAATTTCCACCGTTTTCCTTGCGATGTAATATAACACTTTTTATGAGCCCGCCACATCTTCATTTAACATTTTCGGGAAAAGGTAGCGTGGCCGAGTGGTCTAAGGCGCTGGTTTAAGGCACCAGTCTTTTCGAGGGCGTGGGTTCAAATCCTACCGCTGCCATTTGACTTTAGCCATTTGACTTGGAATACTGGTATTGTTACTATCGAAAATGTTAGTTTTCGGACAAGAAAGCGCGCTTTTTGCAAATTACACCTTCTGGTAATACTCCTACAAAAATAATACTCCGAAGAAATGCGTTCCGGTAGTGTTGCCGAGTGGTCTAAGGCGCTTGTTTTAGGTACCAGTCATTTCGATGGCGTGGGTTCGAATCCCACCACTGCCAAGTTAGGGGACGTTTTGGCTTTGAAGCCATCTAGAAAATTTTAAAATTTGGGAATAAATACTTTCAACATTTTGTCGTGTAAAATCGTGTTTTAAAAACTCAAGCCCGCGTTGTTTTCTGCTGCAGACTGTATACCAGTTTGCCGTTCCACAATAATTAATAGAGCTTTAATCACAATGCATTATTCGTCTTTGCTATCTAGAGGTTCTGCCGAGACTTGAAGTCGAATCCTTGGATTCAAAGTCCAAAGTGCTTACAATTACATCACAGAACCAGCTGTAAATTAGCTCGACTGCTTAAATATCGGCGCATGTTTGCAATTTTAAAGTTGCACTGCACGTAAGAGGACGCTTGCGTTCATTAAGATTTCTTTTTTAAAAGCATCAATTCAAAAGCAGCGCGTGCTTGTCAGGTTGGCCGACCGGGCCGAAGGCGCCAGACTTAAGAGATTGACGAGTCTTCTGGTCCACATTTGTGGGCGTGGGTTCGAATCCCACACCTGACAACATAGATTTGCTGTATTAGCTGTAATCCATGTAATTTTGTATTAGCTGTAATCCATGTAAAAATGATGGAAGATGGATGCCCAACGAAGAGCGTTGATGGTGTAACGGTTAGCATTGCTGCCTTCCAAGCAGTAGATCTGGGTTCGATTCCCGGTCGACGCAGTTTTCACCTTTTATGGAATTTCCACCGTTTTCCTTGCGATGTAATATAACACTTTTTATGAGCCCGCCACATCTTCATTTAACTTTTTTGGGCAAAGGTAGCGTGGCCGAGTGGTCTAAGGCGCTGGTTTAAGGCACCAGTCATTTCGATGGCGTGGGTTCGAATCCCACCGCTGCCATTTGACTTTAGCCATTTGACTTGGAATACTGGTATTGTTACTATCGAAAATGTTAGTTTTCGGACAAGAAAGTTATGAGCAACTTGCTATCTAGAGGTTCTGCCGAGACTTGAACCCAGATCCTTGGATTCAAAGTCGAAAGTGCTTACCATTACACCATATCAACTATCTTCACCGTTAGAGCGACTTATCTTAGAGGAAAACCCAGACTTCTTAGAAGTTTCTGAAGAAAAGGTTTTATCACAGCTACAAAAACTCAACCCCAGTAAAAGTGGTGGCCCTGACGAAGTGCCCAATTGACTCTTGCGAGAGTATGCTGTAATCCTTGCCCTCCCAATTAGTCTACTCCTAAATGCATCCTACAAACAACAGCGCCTACCTGCAATATGGAAACTTGCGAATGTTTCACCGCTGCCAAAAGTAAAAATAGTACAGGACCTGAAAAAAGAACTTAGGCCCATTTCATTAACACCTAATATTTCGAAGGTTGCAGAGCATTTCGTTGTTAATGATTATGTGAAACCAGCTGTTTTGAAGAAAATTGACCCCAATCAGTATGGAGCAATCCCTAAATCATCGACGATTTTTGCTCTTCTTAGTATGGTGCATAACTGGACTTCCGGGCTTGACGGTACCGGTTCTACAACTAGAATCATTCTATTCGATTACCAAAAAGCTTTTGATCTAATTGATCACAGAATTTTGTTCAATAAACTACTTCAGTTAGATCTACCACGAAGTGTTATAAATTGGATTATTGATTTCTTAAGTAACAGATTCCAAAGAGTCAAACTTTCACAAGGATGTTTTTCAGATTGGGGTGCAGTACCTTCTGGCGTCCCTCAAGGCACCATTTTAGGTCCATGGCTCTTTTTAATCCTGATAAATGATTTATCTATCACAGATAATGACTTATGGAAATACGTGGACGATACGACAG